AGAATTTATCAGCATGATTTATGGATATGGCTGAATAATTTGATTTTTAGTCTTAATTTGTCCCTAAATAGAACCAAAGTATACTAAATACCCTTGCTTTTGTTTGCCCTCACAGTGCATCTCCTGAAAAGCAAAAGGTCAGAGGGTCTATTGTGAATTCTTTCCAATTTCAAAGTTTGGCACTATAAGCAAGTGATGTAATTTATTTGGATGTGTGCTGGTGGCATGTGAAACGAAAAAATATGTACATAATGTAGTAATGTGCTTCCCGTTCTTTTCAGTATATCAGAACTCTCTGCCCTCCAAGTGCTCCCAAAAGCATGTCTACGACACATACCCATTGTTTTATGATGGATAGGACTATATGAACAAACCTACAATTTTATTGTACCCCAGAATGAACTGTCAGTGGGGTGGAACACTGTGGGGGTAAACTGCATGGGAGGGAATGCGGATGTACAGGATCTGTGATTTTATCATGCATCATCTCGGTCTCTTTTTTATTCTAATGCCACTCAGCAACCAACATAATAAGCCAAAATGTGCTTTACTTATCCTGGTATAGGTGCGCCGAATGGCTCAACTGAGAACAGCGGGTGCATGTCCCAAAACGGCAAAATGAGTCAAATTTTGCCGCCCAAACTTATGTTGTTTCACTTTACCACCCCATTCACCGGCCTTTCCCCAGAGTTGCCTCGACGTCCAGGCCCCGCTCGGCGTGTCTCCCGCCACCCGCCAGTCACGCATCACTCGTCGCGCGCCATGTCGTCTGTGATCCGGATCAAGCGGAAGGTGGGCGACGACCCGCACCTGGCGCTGGTGGCGGCCAAGCGCCGGCGCCTGGACGACGATGCCGCTGCCGATGCGGCGCCGGCGCCTGCCGAGGGCGCGGTGCTGCAGTTCGTCGGCACGATGGCGGCGCGGGAGGCTGACCTGCCGGCGGCGCTGCTCAGCTCAATCAGGTCGCAGCAGAAGCGGACCGACGGGCGGCGCGACGTCGGCACGGTGGCGGCGGCCATCCTGAAGGCCAAGGAGGCGCGCCGGCAGCGCCATCTGCAGGAGCAGAAGGTGCGCCGCTTCCGTGTGGTGTCGCGTCGGCGCGGGGAGCTCGACCTGTCGCCCGCTGCGGCCACCGGCGGCCTCGCCGGCCTCATTGACGTGGAGGAGGAGGAGGAGGAGGCGAAGGCGGAGGGGGACGCCGCCGCCGGCGCCGCGCCGCAGCTCACTTGTAACGGCCAGGTGATGGAGCGGGTGGCTGCGGCCGACGCCAGCTGGGTGTACGACCTGTACGTGTCGAGCGCGCCGCTGCCGGCCGAGCTGGCGGACGACCTGCTGGAGCTGCGGCCGTGCTCCGAGCCGCTGCTCTGGGAGCACCGCGAGGCTCGGCACAGCGACAGCGACTCGCCGTTCGCCGACGACGCCGACGACTCGAACGCCGAGGACAACTGGCGCAACGATTACCCGGACGAGCTGGGTGACTCGGACTATGAGCGCTACCTCGACCCGGAGCAGGCGCCGAGCTGGACCTGATCCGCCGGCTCGAGGCGCACGAGCTCGGCTCGGACAGCGACGAGCCCCTCGCCTACGGGCTCGACGAGGGCGGGTCCGAGGACGGCGACTCGGCCGACCCATACGAGCGGTACAAGGCGCGCGTGCTCCGCCAAATGGGCGGCGGTGAGAGCGACGAGGAGGCCGGCTACGAGGCGGACGACGGCAACGACAGCGGCGACGACTAGCGTCGGCGCGCGCTCGGCTACCGGCCAGTGACTGGCTGATTTGAGAGCTGCTGGTGACATGTGTTGGAGTGACGCTGGCCAGGCTGTTCGCGTGATGCAGCGTAGCACCCGCTTTTGCCTACCATGTGACGGTGACTACATTTCGCCCGCCATGTGACGGTGTCTACCTATCGCCCGCCGTGTGACGGTGTCTACCTATCGCCCGCCGTGTGACGGTGTCGACCTATCGCCCGCCGTGTGATGATGACTTCCGCGACCATTTGTGCCGCTTTCACCCCTGCCCCTGCGCAATAGCTGTGGACGATGCGAAGAAGTGTTGCTGTGACTCAGTCTTAGGATGTTTCGCCAATTTTTGGTCCTTTGGGGATGTTTTTGCTATTGTTTGTATTTTCTGTTCTGGTAAGACCATGCAAGTGTTTTCTAGATGGCGTTAACGCTTATCAACACTGATAACACTGGTGACGCTTATCAACATGTGCTGTGCTCATCCAGGTGCATGCACCCCAAAGGACTCAAGTGACAAACAACAAGGTGTGGGTGCTCGATAAGACTGCCCATCTTGCGTCTCGACGTCGCCTTTACCTTGGATTTGACCTGAACCGGTTTAGTTTGTGACGCTTATCGTGGCCTTGGTATTCTCAGCCCGAAATATAAGCTGATAAGTAGCACGATATCCGCTGTTCTTTCTGATTGGATATTTGGCGATATTGCTTCCTGGGGTTTATCTGGGCAGGAGTTGTCGCTGAGAGATCTTGTGTTTGATGAAGTTTTGCGCATCTGAGCACAACTGTTGCCGTCTTTACAGGTGTTTATTCACATACGCCAGCCTGTGTGACAGCAAGAAAATATGTGATAAATGGGTCACGTTCACGCAATTTTGATATCGGTAATTATGCTCTTTGTAAGAGTGATTATATTCTGGACACTGTTGAGGGGAAGGGCGAAGGTAGCATGCGTGTATCATTTGCAGCTAAGATTAGGCGACGAAAAAGGATAACCAAACATTTTACATCGAAACGATGGAGTGGCGTGAAGGCGCCAATGCACCTCAGGCTATTACTTCTTTCAGACATCGCTCGATGGAATCATAACATATGCCTTAGTTATGCCTAGTTTGTCCTACCCTGCATCACTTATGTCTGCGTCGCCCTATGTGCCGCCACCGTCTTCATTAATCCTAACACAAATGTAATTCGTGATGTCTCAACCACTGCAGCTGTGCGAGTATGGAGTGCATGAAGCAGACCGTCGGATGTTGCATTGTTCAGAACAGCTCGTCTTGGGAAGTATCACTACGTAGGTCGTAGCCCTCATTTGCGATGTGATCCTGGCATTTCATTGTGTTTGTAGTTCGCTCCTCCCCGCAGCCTCGCCTGTGACTTCAAATGTTAGACAACCTGCACGTAAAACTGCACGCCCAGGCAATCCTCCATGTCCGCGAAGCTGGCGATCTATTCAGCGATCAGGGAGAACAATTTGTATCTTTCGGGCAGCTATGCTCCCCAATGTTGAGCTGCCCACTCTCAATGTTGGGCTGGGGCCCCGCGGTATTGCGCTGGGTCCCCACAATATTGGACGGAGTTTCTACAGTGTGGTACCTGGCGCCCAATACCTATCCCTTCTTCAAAATATTTGATGATAATTTAAATCTTGGCAAGCTGGAAGCGCATTTAAAATCCAAGGTTATGCTTGTATGTGTCCTTGTATGTATGTATGTGTGTCCCTGAGATACGGCAAAACTGAAGTGATGGACTATTAGTTCAAAAGTTTCTTGCGCTGCGCTGGTGAGATGAAGCGGTAACACCGCATTTCAGACAACCTTGAACGAGTGTAAGATTCAGGCGCGTCTTTGCAATCGGCCTCGTGCTGCGCAAGTCCCAGGTTGTTCAATGGATGCCCCACAGCCATTGTGGAACCCACAGACAACGTTGCAATTTTCTAGGCGTACGATTAGGTATTGATCTAGGATTTCGTGACGGAAGGGCCCACGCTTCACTGTGGAACTGGAGCTTAGTGCACTGAAGCTTGAAGTCTTCCTCTCTTTCTGTAAAAGAGCGCATTGTGCGTTCGCCCGGGCTCGTCCAAAAACCGACTGGCGCCTGCCAGCGTCGGGTCCCTGCCGCCGCATCAGCGGCCGACTCTTTACCCCCGGCAAATCGGGAGACCCGCGGTCACGTGACGCCCCCCCGGCACCCAGTCAAATGTAGGGCTCGGAAGACAGCGAGAGCGAGGGCGCACATCCCGCACAATCACACCACGCTCTCAAGAGGTCCCGGTATTTCGGCCATTTCATTTCCAGATCTCTATTTTCTAATCGAGAAACCATCGTCCTCTGCGCATCGTGGAGGGATGGACATAGGTGAATATATGCATGTACACGGCGCACGCTCATCCTTTTTCCAGAGATGGATCCTTCCAATGATGCTTTTCCTTATTCGTCGTGGAAAGAAAACGAAAGTGGAGAGATAGATGATATAATTGGCTGCATGCCTTTATATAAACGAATATCAATAGTGCGTATAAGAAATTATACCACTACGTAGTACGCACTACTAAAATGCGCGTAATCGCATTATAGAATATGAAATCAGTATCAAACGGATATCTAACTGCTTCCCACACCTGGTCATTGTTCCGTTTATTCTGCGAGGAATAAGGCTATTAATACTGTCTCGGCTATACGCATAATGCTCCTCGCAAATACACTCAACGACTTACGTAAGCAGTTACTTACCATCAAAGTCAGGCATAACACGACTCGACTGACAAGCCATCATCACTAAAACGACGACGAAACGAGCAGAAAATTGCCTTTTACATGTCAATGGCCTTACATGGATGGTTGTGTGCCATTGAGGGTTTGCGGCGTTATTTAGTCTTTGTGGGGACGCTTGCCTCTCACCCTGGCAGGAAGGGTGGGCACTGTGGGGAATCGAACCACATAGTAAATGCTCAAACGCAAAAGCAGTACATTGCTCACGACGATGTCTAAGTCGCAATGCCACTCAACTGACATGTCCTGATACGAAAGTTGAAATATTGATGGAGATGGCAGAAAGCAGCGAGAAAGCAGCAGAAAGTCGTATTTTGCTGACACCATAAACTTGCTTGTGGCAAAGCACACCTATACCCATCTCCTTGGAATATTTAAAATCGTTTTGTGTCGTTGACGAGAAAATAATCCATTGTTGTACTACATGTTTTGGGCATATTGACCGAGCACAAAAACTGCCCACATTCTAGCTGAGGGATGTGACTCGAGCGATGTATAGACAAGGCGAGCTCCACAGATTCAAACACAGAGGGAAAGTTGTCTATGGGATACCATAGGCTTTTTATGGAAGGCTTCTAATCATTCACAGGGAAAACGTCATGAGAGAACCTTTTTCAGTTTAGATGTTGTTGGTTTATATGAAATATACCAGTCAATGAGGCTATCGCTGCCGTGAAATCTAAGGTAGACGATCATTTCCATGACATTGGTGCTCTTGATCTAACAAAACAGGATATTTGCGGTCTTCTAGAACAATGTTGTTTGCTTGTTTGTTTGGTTATTTAGGACATGCGCAGTCCACAGCCAAAGTCCAACTGCGCAAGCAGCCCAGTTTTAAAGACAATAAGCGTACGACACACACACACAAACAAAAAACCTAACCACACACACACACATACACATTGCGCACACAGTCACACATGCACCCTACGCACTCAGGCACAGCGGTCATCAAAAGAACGCGCCATGGCTGTCGGCGAGCCTAAACAAATCAGATAGAAATTATTTCATTGGTTAGATAAAATCGGTCGAAGGAGAACGCCGTAGAAAACGATTTTGGCAATGGGTAGACGTGTGACAAGCCCATCTTTAAGGGTGTGAACATTTGGATTTTTGAAATTTGTGGAAAACTGCCCTGGCAAAAATTGCCTCCAGGCTAATGTCGTCGGTTTGGGGATGACTAATATCGACAGCAATCGGCATGGTAATGAGAAACCTATTCCATCATTTTCTCTGGCGATCATATTTTTATACCAATTTGAAACTAATCCCCTGGCCGCCAGCCCATTTCAAACCACTTTCAGGGCAAGATTCATCGATAGTTATACTGGAGTTTGGACGCACGGACGGCATGTCCTTAATTCTTTTGAGTTAATGAATAATCCGCATGCCAATTCATCGTTTACTTGGGGCATGCAGGGGGACCAGAGGGATGCCGTGCATAAGCCTTGCCAAAGTCAGGTTTTCTCAAGCTTTGTAGAGGGCGGTGACATCACTGGAGCTTAGGCTTCAATGCGGCGCGGCGCTAGCCGTATCGCAGCTGCTTTCCGTCAACGCTGCGCGACAGCCGGGACATAGGATGTCCTCGCACAGATCATGAATAAACTGCTCCAATGTGAGGTGCATATGACCAGGAAGTCGATCACGTGCAATTTATTGGTGAATAGGATGATATGCTTAGCAAGCCTATGCGGCTGACCGTTTGATCTAATGCAAAGACATGTGAAAAGTGTAAACGTGCACATTGGAATCACGCGAGAAAAGACGGCCAAAGCAACGGGTTCTCCACGTATTAACAATGAACAAACTGTCAATGGCAGGTGCATATGACCAACAAGCCAGCCGCGTAGAATTTAACGTAGAAAATGAAGAATTGCTTTGAAAGCTTATGCGGCCAACCATTACCAATGAAATCGGTGTTGAAATTGGTAGCCCTTACGCAAAGACTGCTGCAGAGATAGGTGGCTGGGATATTGGATTATCTTCGTACCGATATCAAACGAGCTGTCGGGATAGGTGCATATGACTAGGGGGTCAAATGCTTGAAATTTGATGTTGAATGTGATGCTGTGCTATTTACAAGTGAATATACCTAGCGTTTATAATTAAATCGGCGTAAAAAGCGAAAACGTGCACACTCCCTGCATATCTCTATCAGGATGATAGAGATATGCAGCATGAATATCGGGCTACTTCCTCACCGAAAACTAACATATTTTTACAAGCA